TTAAGAAAAACCTTATTGTAATTTGGGTGAAAATTTATAGAGAAAATTGGTTTTCCATTCAATAATTCATACACATTTTGATTATACTTTCTAGTTTTATATTGAAATTCTCAATCTTTTCATTTAGTATTTTTTCATCATATTAATTACAATTATTTCAAGATCCACTTCTGTTAACTCCATTATCTGGATATCCTATGTGTCGATTCCTATTGTTTTTTTTTTTTTTTTTAATTTTTATTGTGATTTGGGAGAAAGTTTATAGAGCAAATTCATTTTCCATATAGCAGTTCATACACATTTTGTTTCATGACATTGATTGCAATTCCCCACAATTAACAACAGCTCATGTCCCACTTCCTCTTCATAGTTACCTCTTCCCTGTGTCCTTCCCTCCTATGCATTCCTGCATCCCGAGATATCTCCCTGTGCAAACATGCCCTTCTGTTTCCCACAATTGATCATCACTCCAAGATGGGTATCTACCTGATATAAATATTTCGCCAATATGCCTATCTATTTGGCTAGAAGCCACAGGACTGAGTTTAGTTTCAGACCTCAAGGGTAACAAGGGGCCATAGTCTCAGGGGTGTCACCAGACTCTATCAGACCAGCAAACCTGGTCCCCACCTTCTCACTCTCTTTTTTTTTTCTTCATTTGATTTTGAGTTTTGTTCCACATTGTTCACCCTCTCTATCCAGGATCTCCTATTCCCCCTCCCAGTGGTTGACAGTGGTAGCCGGCACCATCTATTTCTTCTGGTCTCGTGATCATATAGTCTGAGGATCACGTGGTCCACCAGTCCCTTGGACTAATTGTTTCCATGCATCATTGTTTTTCTTTGCTCCGGACAAGGAGAGATCCATCATTGCATCTAGATGGCTGCTTGCAAGCTTTTAAGACCCCATTGCTACTCACCAAAGTAGGATGTATAACATTGTTTTTGTGTAGCATGCTATGTCAATTGAACTCTATGTCTCCTGCCAGCACAGTCCCTACCCCACAGATTCAACTATTTGCTCCCTCAGGGTAGCTGACTGTGGCCAAGAAGCCACCACAACGTTGCTCCTTGTCAATGCTACTATGTTGTTGTTGTTAGGTGCCATTGAGTCATCTCTAACTCATAACGACCCTAAGCACAGCAGAATGAGACACTGCCTGGTCCTGTGCCAGCCTTATGATCCTTGCTATACCTGAGCCCATTGTTCCAGTCACTGTGTCAATTGATCTAGTTGAGGGCCTTTCCCTTTTACATTGAACCTCCACTTTACCAAGCATGATATCCTTCTCCAGGAAATGGTTTCTTCTGGCAACATGATCAAAGTAGGTGAGATGAAGCTTGGCCATTATTGCTTCCAAGGAGCATTCCAGCTTCACTTCTTCCAGGATAGATTTGTTAGTCCTTTTAGCAGTTCATGGTACTCATAGCATCCTTTACCAACACTACAACTCAAAAGCATCAACTCTTCTTCAGTCTTCCTTATTCATTGTCCAGCTCTCACATGCATAAGAGGTGATAGGAAATACCATGGCTTGGGCAAGGTACACCTTAGTATTCAAGGAGATATCTTTGCTCTTCATCACTTGAAAAAGATCTTTTGCAGCAGATTTGTCCAATGCATTACATTGTCGGATGTCTTGACTGCTACTTCCATTGATGTTGATTGCAGAACCAAGCAATATGAAGTCTTTGACAACTTCAATCTTTTCTCTATCCATTGTGAAGCTGTTTATTGGACAAGTTTTGAAGATTTTTGTTTTCTTCATGTTGAGGTGTAGTCCATTCTGCAGACTGTAGTCTTTAATCTTCATCAGTAAGTGCTTCAAGTCACCCTCACTTTCAGCAAGCAAAGTTGTGTCATCTGAGTTTCACAGGTAGCTAATGAGTCTTCCTCCAATCCTGATGCCACGCTCTTCTTCATATAGTCCAGCCTCTCAGATTATCTGCTCATCATACAACTTGAATAAGTATGGTGAAAGGATACAACCCTGCTGTACTCCCTTCTTGATTTTAAACTGTGCAGTATCCTCTTGTTCTGTTTGAATGACAGCCTCTTGATCTATATACAGGTTCCTCATGAATATAATCAAGTGTTCTGGAATTCACATTCTTCTCAATGTTATCCATAATTTGTTATAATCCACACAATTGAATGCTTTTGCATAGTCAATAAAACATACATATTATATAAGTGTTACTATACACCTGGGCATTCTTACAGCTTATACAAATATGCATGTAGAAACATTGTCTGCTAACCCTATATTTAGTCATGGGCACAGTTCCTCCTCCCTAGACATACCTGATCATTCATCCTGTCTGTCCATCTATCCACCTGTAGATCAATGCTTGCCATCACTGACAATGCAGTACTGTCCCATTGTCATTTTTTTTAAATTTGGATTTTGGTCATTTCTTATCTTTTTGAATGTCTGATTAGTTTTGATTGAATGCCAGACATTATGTGTGAAACATAAAAGAAATAATTGGAGGTGTTGGACAGTGTTCTCTTCCTCTAGAGAAGATTAGCTTTGTTTATGGCTCAGGACAGAACCAAGTCAGAACTTTAGCTAATTTAAAATTTGATTTCAGTTTTCATGAAGATGAAGCTTACCCCCCCCACCACCCCTTTCTGGTTTAACTTTACTTTTAGGGTGTATCCAGTAAGGAATTCCAGCTGAGACTACAGTGTTTCTACCTTGGCCTCTCCTTTTTTCCAGAAACCATCTCCAAGTTTTAGAGCTCTGGTTGCGTAGTGCCTAAGGCATTTGACTGCTAACTAGAAGGCTGGTGGTTCAAACCTACCAGCCACTCCTTGGAACGAAGATTGGGCAACCTACTTCCATAGTGATACCACCTCAGAAACCCAACGAGGGGTTGCTATGAGTTGGATCTGACTCAACGGTAGTAACCCCACGAGGAGAAGCCCTGTAGTACAGTGGTTAAGAGCTCAGCTGCTAACTGAAGAAAGGTTGGTAGATTGAACCCATGAGCTGTTCCACAGGAGAAAGATGTGGCAGTCTGCTTCCAGAAAAATTTACAGCCTTGGAAACCCGTACTACGGGGCAGTTTCACTCTGCTCTATGGTTGCTGTAAATAGGAGTCGATTGGATGACAGTGGGTTTAGTTTGGTTTTGGTTAACACTGTGAGAATGCCAAAGACAGTAGTCAGCTTTCAGCTTCTGAGTTGCAGCTTGCTCTTCAATTTGACAACCTTTTAGGTTTTATTTACTTCGTATTTTCAAATATGCAAGAAAAATAGCATTAATAAATGTTGTTATTGACACTTTAGGGTTACTTCCTCTCTGGAATCTTGAACCTTCAAGCTTGGTAGCTCTCTTATTCTTCAAAAAATACTTTTCTTCATCTTATTTTGTATGGCTTTCATACTTGTTTTTGGTGGAAGTGTGAGTGTGAAATCAGCAAGTATGTCATGGCCAGAAGCAAACAAATCCAGGGATAACTGATTTGTGTTCCAGGGCAGACTATGTGACTTGTAACTTGTGATCCCAATGTTGTTGTTGTTATGTGCCATCGAGTCAGACTTGACTCATAACGACTCCTCCTTGGTTTCTGAGGAAGTATCACTACGGAAGTAGATTGCCTCAATCTTCAGAGGAGTGGCTGGTGGGTTTGAACCGCCAACCTTCTGGTTAGCAGTCAAGTGCCTTAGGCACTAGGCAGTATTTTGGAAAAATAGAGGCACTCAACAAATGCTTTTATGAATGAATGAATGCATTCTCCGATGAAAATGATGAAGCAATAGGCAGAGTTTTTCTCTTGGAATCTAGAATTTCTGGAGCTACATGAACCCCCAAAACAGTTGTCCTTAGATAATCTTTAAACCTTTAATCAGAATTATCCTCTGAAGTCTTTTTAAAAAGAACAGCATCTCAAAAGATTAAGCAGGAAATTTAGGGAACAGTGAAATTATGTTAATGGTGGAGGAAAAATTCAGAAAAGGAAAGTGAGCATGGTTGCACAGCTTGAAGACTATAATCAATGCCATTGAATTGTATATGGAGAAATGGTTGAATTTGTGTGTGTTACGCTGTGTGTACGCTCAATAACAACAAGAAAAAATAAAAATAAATGGGTAATTATTTAAAGAGAAGAAAAGAAGTAGAGAAGAATTTTGAGGAAAATTGTCCAAAGTCTATTAGGGAAATTATCAAGATTTTTTGTTTTAATCATGAATCTCGACTTGAATGTTTTTCATTTTTCTCTTTGCTGTTTTTCAAGTAAATGACTTAAGCTAATGGTTGCAATTGAATAACAAAAACTAGGGATGGGAAACAAAAGAAAATTGAACACTTCTGTAGTTTCAAAGTTAAGGAAAGTCAGTCCTTTAAAAATTTCATATAGTAAAATATCTAATTGGCATATGTTAATGATATGCAAATGTATCAAAATATGGGAAAATTTTGGTGGGAAATCACTAGACCAGAGAGATAAGTAGCTGCCCTGAAAAGTCTGGTTTTAACAGCAGGCCAGATTTTAGGACTCTGGATTTATAAGGCTTATTAATTTTAAGTTGTCACATTGTTTTGAGGGCAGGGATAGGAGAGTGGTGAGCTGTTTTGGTCTTTGGTCATTCATTGGTCAATTACATGCCAGTTATGTGGCATGTAGGCACGTGGGTAATGTCATTCAGGGTACTCTAAAGGTGAATCTATCTCTTCCTCCTCGTTCTCGAATGTTGTGAAAAAGACTAAGTGTATCACAATCAAAGCTGTCATTTTAAAAAGAGATGGCTCAGAAAAGCAATGACCCTTGTGTTCTGCTCCCTTTTATATTTAGAAATAGCCTGTGTCCTACCTGCACTAGTGGATGGCATGCAGAGCCATCCCCAGAAACTCTTCTATGCAGTGGGCGAGAAGGTGACCCTTTCCTGTCCAGGTAACATGTCCTTAGAAGGTCCTTCAGCCTTTCTCTGTGGTTCCAGCCTTAAGTGGAGTCCTGAGATGAAGAATGTCCAGTGTGTGCGAAAAGGTGAGATCTTGTCCGTGTCTGTCTGAGTACATTGGCCCACAAGTGGGTGAGAGTCCTTGTAGTGGTCCCTCCTGCCATTGCATCCCCTCTCCCTGTGAGTCATTCCCCCATCCCTGCTCGTTTATGGGAAGGAACACAGTTTGTAGTTTGTAGTCTGAGCACAGATTTCCTTCACGTGGCGCAATTGAACTCATGGAATACACATAAAGGCAAGAATGGTCCTGGTGATTCTGAAATACTCCTTTAAATCCTCTGTATGAAATAGGAGCTTTATATAGCTACTATGGTGCCAAGAAAATAAATGACTTTTTTAAAAGCTGGTTTTTGGTTTCCTCCTCCTTTTTTCCCACCTCTTGAACTTTTACTAAGTATAGAGTTGAAATAGTAATTTACACAAAATTCTGTATGCTCACTACTGTGTTTTCGGAGTTTATTGGTATTGAAAATTTTAACTGAAAATTGAATCTTAATTGAAAATTTGACACGACAAAGCAAAAGTTATAGAAGAAAAAGTTGTACTTTGTGAAGTTGCTCTTAATAGTGGAAATGCCAAAATCCAGTATTTTGTATACGAAGCAAATTAAAATGGTCTTTTAAGAAATTAGGTAGGCAGGATTTTAAAAGCCAAAGAATTTCTTTTTGGAGATATTTGTGATAGAATGGATTTGTTTTTAAAATCACCTCCTGTTTTCTATTTGTTTTTATTTTTAAAATAAATGGAAAATATTACATTTGTAAAAATTAAAAATAAGAAAGAACAATTCACTTGAATGCTATTTCACATACTATTCTTACTTTCTTGAATGTGTATTTTTAAAAATACAATTTACTTTTTAGAGCAGCAATAGGTATACAGAAACACTGTGCAGAAATACAGAGTGTTCTCATATACCCCCTTTGCTTCCCTATATCCTGTTTCTCTTATTAGTAATGTCTTGGGTTAGTGTGGTGCATATATTATTGAACCAACATTAGACTTCAGTAACCACTGAACCCACAATACTGGTGCTCCTGAACCAATATTAATATGTTATTATTAACTAGAGTCCATAGTTTGCATTAGGTAGGTCCCTGGGTGGTGGCAGTGGTTTGTGATTGGCTGCTAACCTAAAGGTGGGCAGATCACATCTCCCCAGTGCTGTGGAAGAAAGGCCTGGCGACCTGCTTCTGTAAAGATTATAGGCAAGAAAACCCTATGGAGCAGTTCTGTTCTGTGACAATGGAGTTGTCATAATTTGCATTAGGGTCCATTCTTTGTGTTGTACAAATGCATGATGTCACATGTCCACCATATGGAATAATTTCAGTGCTCATAAAATGTGCTCTGCTTCACCTATTTATTACAACATTTGTTTTTTTATCCAATCCTGAAATTTGTCTTTCAATAGTGAGAATGAATGCTTGATTCACTGAATGATACTCTTAGGTGAATTAGACGTTTACAACTGAAGGAAAGGACCAGGCTGCAGGAAGCAGTGTTATTGATGGTGGCTCTGAGCTGCGTGTTCAGTAGATGACAGCTGATGGAGCAGGAGAGGAGCGTGATGGATGGAAGGCCTTCTGTGCTAGTTCTGAAGTGCTCTTTAGCTGGCAAAGGCCACCAGTGGGAGGAAATTGCTCTGTTTTCTACATACTATGAAGTATAAATATGGGTTTATCGGGACTGTTTAAATAATGGACCTGTACCAATGATTCTAAAATTAAACAGAACAATGTACGGTTGATGAGGTTGCACTTTTGTTCCAAATGAGATTCTATGCTTGCCTTTCTAAAATGTCTGTTTCAGAATTTGGTATGATTTTTCTCCCACTCAGTAGAAAATTCCATTAAAGTTGGTTTTAATTAAGGATGTCTTTCATATCTGTAAGTTTTCTTCTGAAGAAAGAAAAAGAAACCTGGAATTTTTTTTTCTTTGTTACAAGTTTATCTTAAAGATCATTACTAAAGAAAGACATAATAATAATTACTGTCCTTAAGATAAACTTGTGACAAAGAAAAATTCCAGATTGTTAGCCTTCAAAGCCAATGTTTTAAAATAACATGTTTTTGGTATTTAGTCTTGATGTGAAGGTATTTGTTTTTAAGGTGGATCTAAGGGAATGTTTAAAGGAACTCTGGTGGTGTAGTGGTTAAAGCCTTGGGCTGCTAACCAAAAATGTAGGCTGTTTGAATCCACCTGCCGCTCCCAGAAGAAGATGAGGCAGTCTGCTTGCCTAAAGATTTACAGCCTTGGAAACCCTATGGGACAGTTCTACTCTCCTGATGTGGTTGCTGTCAGTCACAAAGGAAACGACGGGATGGCAGTGGGGTTTCTGGTTTAAGGGCATGTTTATGTGGTTAACTGATCACTATATATAACAAAGCTATGTTTTTCTTAGATGCTGAAGTTCATGGACAGGGTAATTCTATCAATGATTTTTCATAAAGAAATAATAACAAAACATTTTAAAATCTAAAATTTCATCTTTATGAATGATCAACAAATACGTTTCTGATCAATGCAGAAACAATTTACACTGCTTTATCACTGAATTTTAGTTTTGGTACATCTAGATCAATTTGTCAATTTCAGCACATTGATATTTGGGGCTGGAAAATTCTTGTTGTGGGAGACTCTCTTGTGCATTGTAGGATGCTTAGCAGCATCCCCTAGATGTCAGTGGTGCCCCCCTACCCCCACCAAATATCTCCAGATATTGCCAAATGTTCCCTGAAGGGTAAAATCATTCCTGGGTGAGAACCACTGATTTAGATAACACCAAAACAAACAAGCAAGCAAGCAAGCAAACAAATAAACCAAACTCACTGCTGTAGACTTGATTCTGACTCATAGCGACCCCTCCTTGGGTTTCTGAGGCAGTATCTCTATGGAAATAGATTGCCCATTCTTCCTACTGAGGAGTAGCTGGTGGGTTTGAACCACCAGGCTTCTGGTTAGCAGTCAAATACCTTAGGCAAATACCATTAAAAATTTATTTTTGGAGTAATTTTAGATTTATAGAAAAGTTGTAAATTTAGTTTTCATATACTTCTCACTCAGTTATACATCTTATATAACTTGGCATACCTTAAGTGATCAAAGTTTAAAAAATTAATATTGGTATAACACTACTGAGTATAGGCTTTATTTGGAAATCACCAGTTTTTTCACTAAGACCTTTTTGTAATTTTTATTGTGATTTGGGTGAAAGTTTACAGAGCAAATTCACTTTCCATACAACAGCTCACATACACTTTGTCTCATGACATTGACCACAATTTACCACAATGCAACAGCTCACCTCCCACTTCCTCCCCACAGTTACCTCTTCCCTGAGTCATTCCCTCCCCTGCACTCCTGCCCCCTGGGTTGTCTCCCTGTGGATACACAGCTCTTCTGTTCTTCCATGATTGTTCTCTCCAAGGAGTGTATCTACCTATTGTAAATATTCAGCTGATATGCCTGTCTTTTGTTTGCTGGAAGCCACAGGAATGGATTCAATTCCAGATTGAAAGGGCAACTAGGGGCCATAGTCTCAGTGGTTCCATCAGGCTTCATCAGACCAGCAAACCTGGCCCTTTTTTGTTTGTTTGTTTGTTTAAATGATATTGAGTTTTTTTCCACATTGTTCTCCCACTGTAACCAGGATCCCCTACATAGATCCCCCACCGAGTGGTTGACAGTGGTAGCTGGGCACCATCTAGTTCTTCTGGTCTCATAGTTGTATAGGCTGAGGATCGCATGGTGTACCAGTCGCTTGGACTGATTGTTTCCATGTGTCTTTGGTTTTCTTCATTCTTCATTGCTCTGGATGAAGAGAGACCCATTGTTGAATCTAGATGGCCACTTGCAAGCTTTTAAGATCCCAGTTGCTATTTGCCAGAGTAGGATGTGGAACAATGCTTTTGTGTAGTATGTTATGCCACTTGAGCTTGATGTCCCTTGCAACCATGGTCCTGAGCCCACAGGTCCAACTACTTGCTCCCTCTGGGTAGCTGGCTGTGCCCAAGAAGTGACTACAACCTTGCCCCTTGTCAGATCTACTATACACCTGGGAATTGTTACAGAACATACAAATACACTTGTAGAAACATTGTCTGCCAACCCTATACATTGTCTTGGGCACACACCCTGCTGTGTAGATATACCTAATAGTCAGCCTGTCCACCCATCTATCCGTCCATATATCAATGTTTGCCTTCACTGACAACACAGTACTGTATGTGCAAAAGGGTTCATCTTTACTGTCTGTACCTCCCACACACCACTCTATGGCTTCCTCTTTCTCAATGCCACCATGTGATCACTCACATTTGGTACATTGCCCTTCTCTTCACCCAAATCAATATTTATCTCTACCTGTCTAACAGTGTTCCTTCCCCTCCCCTCCCCTCCCCCCTCGGTAACCAACAAAGAAAATTCCCTTCCATATATAAACCTTTCTTTGACTTTTTACAATAACAGAATGCTAATACAATATTTGTCCTTCTGTGATTGACTTATTTCACTCAGCATAATGTTCTCCAAGTTCATCCACGTTAGGTGGTGTTTTGCCAATTCTACATTATTCTTTAGAGTTGCATAGTATTCCATTGTGTATATACCATAGTTTGGTTATGTGTTCTTCTGTTGATGGGCACCTAGATTGTTTCCATCTTTTGGCTATTGTAAATAGTGCTGCAATGAACATGGGTGTGCATATATCTGTTCTTGTCCTGGCTCTCACTTCTTTAGGATATATACATAGTAATGGAATGGCTGGATCAAATGGTATTTCTAATTTCCAACTTCTTAAGGAATCACCATACTGCTTTCCACAGTGGTTATATCATTTGACAGCCCCACCAGCAGTGTATAAGAGTCCTAATCTCTCCACATCCTCACCAGCATTTGTTATTTTCTTTCTTGTTGAACTTTGCTAGTAGTGCTGGGGCAAGATGGTGTCTCATTGTTGTTTTGATTTGCAACTCTGTAATGGCTAAAGATCATGAGCATGTCTTCATATGTTTGTTGGCAGCCTGAATATCCTCTTTGTTGAAGTATCTATTCATGTCTTCTGCCCATTTTTTAACTGGATTATTTGTCTTTTTGTTGTTGACATGTTGGAGTTTTCTATAAATTCTAGAGATAAGTCCCTTGTCAGATATATCATTGTCAAATATTCTTTCCCGATCTGTAGGTTCTCTTTTGACTCTTTTGGAGAAGTCTTTGGAAGCACATAAAAATTTAATTTTTAGAAGGTCCCATTCATCTAGTTTCTCCTCTGCTGTTTGCATGTTTGTACGTTTTGGGTTATACTTGATAGTCTATTTATGCCATATATTGTTGTTGTTGTTATGTGCCGTCGAGTCAAACCCGACTCATAGTGACCCCTCCTTGGGTTTCCGAGGCAGCATCAATATGGAAGTAGGATTGCCCAACCTTCCTTCCGAGGAGTGGCTGGTGGGTTTGAACTGCCAGCCGTCTGATTAGCAGACAAGTGTCTTAGCCACTATGCTACCAGAGCTCCATATATTAGGGCCCCTAAATTTGCACCTAGTTTTTCCTTGAGGAACTTTATAGTTTTAGGTTTCACATTTAAGTCTTTGATCCATCTGGAGTTTTTGTGTGTGGTGTGAGGTACAGATCTTGTTTCATTTTTATGCAAATGGACCTCCAGTTTTACCAGCACCATTTGTTAAACAGACAATGTCTTTCCCATTTAATGGATTTTGGCCCTTTGTCAAAGATCAGCTGACCATAGGTCGATGGATCTATTTCTGAGTTCTCAATTCTATTCCATTGGTCTATGTGTCTGTCATATCAATACCAGGCGTTTTTGACTACTGTGGCTGTATAATAGGTTTTAAGATGGGTGTGTGAGACCTTCTACTTTGTTCTTCTTCAATAATGCTATGCTTATCTGAGATCTCTTTTCTTTCCATGTAAAATTAGTGATAGGTTTTTCCATATCCCTAAAGAATGTTGATGGGATCTGGATTGGGATTGCATTGAATGTATAGATTGCTTTGGATAGAATGGACATTTTCACAATGTTCAATCTTCCTATCCATGAACATGGTATGTTCTTCCATTGATGTAGCTCTCTTATGGTTTCTTGAAGTAGTCTTTTATAGTTTTCTTTGTAGAGGTCTTTTGTGTCCCTGGTAAGATTTATTCCCACGTATTTTATTTTTTTTTTGGTAGCTATTGCAAATGGTATTGATTTTCTTATTTCTTTTTCAGCAATCTCTTTGCTGGTGTAGAGAAATCCAACTGATTTTTGGATGTTCTTATATGCTGCCATGATTCTAAATCTTTCAATTTGTTCCAGTAGATTTTTTTCACTGAGTCTTTTGGGGTTTCTCGGTATGGGATCATATAATCAACAAATAGGGATAGTTTGTGTTTTTCCTCTAAGGCCCTTTTTATGCATATCCAGTTCAAGGTACCACAGTGCATTGAAGGTGATACCATTTTTAAGATATATATTTAAAGAAAGAGTATTTGTTATGGAAACTACTGAGTATGGTAGTCATGCTTCACACGGCCACCACTTTTGCAAGTTTTAAAATTATTCATGAGATTATTGTATCCGTATCTAAAGCACTGATATTTTTGGAAGTAAAGAAGTAGTTATAGTTTGTGTATCCATAAAAACAAGCTCTTTAAATAAACTACCTTAGTCGATATATCAAACAGGGACCTAGTTTTATGAAATTAAAATATATGCCACCATCATGAAATTGGCAGGGGTGGGACTATCAGCATCATTAGATTATTCATGTTACAGTCAGGGATGGCCGGGGACTGTCAGATTATGCTCTTGTAAACTGAACCAAGTGTTTTGCTGTCAAAATTGAATGATGATTGCTTTTCACCAGTCTGTAGAAAATGCAAAGGTCACAGAAGGAATTTTATAAATTTAAGTAACTGTGGACATTCATGCATTATTGAGGGGACACTATGTGGATGTTTTCATCTAAGAGGTTATTATATATCCTTGAGATACCAGGAAGCTCTTTGAATTCAGGCCAAATTGTGTTGTTTTCTGTCCTATTGTAGGCACAGTGGGCAAGATACAGCCAAAAAAACAAATAGTTTTCAACACTAACTTCTTAAGCAGGAACCTGCTCTACTGGCCATGGATTTGGATGAAATTGACCTTAATTCCTGGATTGGCAAATTTATTAAATGTGTGAATTAGTACCAGTTCCCTAAGTTTTTGATCCTGTTTCCTCATCTCGTAATTGGCATGTATTAAGGAGAGCTAAATATCAGTGCATTAAAAAAACCAAACTCACTGCTATCGAGTCCCTTCCAACTCAGAGTGACTCCCACTGGGTTTCCAAGGCTGCAAATCTTTACAGAAGCAGACTGCCCCATCTTTCTTCCACAGAGCAGCTGCTGGGTTCAAACCACTGACCTTTTGGTTAGCAGCCAAATGCCTTAACCTACTATACCACCAGAGCTTCTTAGTGTATAAAAGGTGACTCTGGTGGCATAGTGCCTGAGGCATTTGACTGCTAACCAGAAGGCTGGCAGTTCAAACCCACCAGCCACTCCTTGGAAGGAAGGTTGGGCAATCTTCTTCTGTAGTGATACTGCCTCATAAACCCCAGGAGGGGTTGCTGTGAGTCAGGTCCAACTCAACAGCAGTGTGTTTTTTCTTTGGTTTGTGGCAAATAGCAAATGTTTAAGAAATGGTAGCTATTATTATCAATGAACTGATAAGTAGGATGCTCCCAGGAACCGTCCATCTCTTGCTAACTGATTTAGAGTGTTTTATTTGTTCATTGTATGCATTTGCTGCAGTTGAGAATGCTACAGAGTCTAGTCCAACAATTGACGTAATATTTTAGTTATCATGAAGAAGCCCTTACTTTCCTAACTGTTGCATTCATTGCACTTAATTGCACTTATCCTTTTCTTTTAGGAGCCAATTCGACACAGGCAGTGCCTGAATGTCAGCGCTGGGAGAAGCTGCAGAATTCAGGATGTGTTTGTAAAATGCCCTATGAATGTGGGTAAGTTTTGTCTGCTTTCTTCTGCCACTTTTATTTTATTCAAGATAAAAGGGGTAATTTCTTAGATGCTAGTCTCTTAGGAGGAGCCCTCATGGCACAAACAGTGACGTGCTTGGCTGCTGAGCAAAAGGTTGGCAGTTTGAACCCACCCAATGGCTCCATGGTACAAAGACCTGGTGATCTGATTCTGTAATGATTACAATCAAGAAAACTCAATGGGGCAGTTCTACTCTGTCGCATGTGGTTGCTATGAGTCAAAATGTACTCAAAGGTCCTAACAAGTCTTTTCAATTGAAGGCAATGCTTGCCACTGGCATAGTTAAGGATCTTTGCATTTCAATCTGCACCCGCCGCCTTTGGCTGCCTGTTATTTCCCTGTGCTGCCAGGGCTGACAGAGATGGTGGTAAGCAGTGTTCCAAACTGGACAGATAGTGAGGCTTAAGGACCACTTGAGCACCACCTGTTCTATATATAAAATGGAGAAAAATGACAAAACTATCACCTGAAGATTTAGCTCTATAGAGGAATTGATTTGAAGTTCTCTTGGGACATAAACTCTTAAAGTAATACTGATAGAATAAAGAGTAGCTGCTTTTCTGATTCTTGAAACATAGTCTCTAAATTTCTATTATCAGTATGCAACCCAAGTTGATGTTTCAATAAATGGATACAATGCTGGAAGCCATTACTCATTTGTGCCAAGAAATTTAGAAGACAGCTACCTGGCCAACTGACTGGAAGAGATCCATAATTGTGCCCATTCTCAAGAAAGGTGATCCAACAAAATGCAGAAATTATCAAACAATACCATTAATAGCAGATTAATGACATTAGCAAAGAATATTACATACACTATGGACTTCCAGTAGAATGAAAAAACCTGTCTTGGAAGAAATATAACTAGAATGCTCCTTAGAACCGAGGATGGCAAGACTTCAACTTATGTACTATGGACATGTTATCAGGAGGGACCAGTCCCTGAAGAAAGACATCATGCTCGGTAAAGGAGAGGATCAAGAAAAAGGAGGAAGATGCTCAATGAGTTGGACTGGCAAAGTGGCTATAAGAATGGGTTCAAACATAGCAATGACTATGAGGATGGCACAAGACCGGGCAATGTTTTGTCTGTTGCTATGAGTCAGAACTGACTCAGCAGTACCTAACAACAACGGTCTCTAATGTGGCAGATCACCAGGTTTTTTCTCCTGCAGAACAGCTGATGGATTCAACTTTTCAGCTGAGTGCTTAACCATTATGCCACCAGGGCTCTTAAGAAAAAGAAAATGTTAGGGCTAAATAAAACATGGGAATGTAGACTCTTACAATTCCCTTTACTGTACAAAAATGCTTTATTTTCTAAGATTTTCAATGCACTACTGCCTTATTCATCATCACTCACAAATGGGGTTCTGCTTATCAGCACCATTTTGAAAGAGCTGATCTCATGGTGTTGGCACCAGTGTTTGAGAAAAAAAGTAACACATTTTATGGAAATACTTAAACTATTTTGTAAACATACAAACTTTCATAAACAGTATTGAAAACTACAATTTCATTGGTCCTTGATGATTTAGTCAGCACTTACTGGACAATGCTACTTTATAGACATGGACCCAGTGGCTGCTGAATGAATGAATTTTTCTCTTGCTTGTGCTTGAAATCTCCTTGAGGGTTGATGTTTGCTGATTTTCTGTCTCCTTCCTTCTTGTCAATCTGCTTGCTGTCGTTATCAGAACTTGCTTTCACTTGTTATTTACCGTATGTGATGCATTCTGGATCAAACTAGATATCTAAGATTGTAAAAATTGTGAGTAAGTAAAGAGTCAATATGCTCATTGTGAAGATCTGAAGGAAGTGGGCCTAGGAATGAAGGGGATTAGAGTGTCCTTTCTGCCTTTTGTCTTTTGCTGTGGGTGATAACATTGCAGACATTGAGCTCTGAGCCTCACGCCACACTTCTCATCTTCAGCTTTTTAGGAAATCTGGTAAATACAGGTAGTCCCCAGCTTACAATGTATTTGAGTTACAGTGAACTGGATGTACAACTGTCCTCTTTTTTTTTTTTTTTGTTTATCTTATTGTTAGTAATATGTACTACATACAATGTTACAGTGCATGATTTGCTGATATTATCATATCTATAAGTTTATATGTAATGTCTCCAACCCCCCAAAACAAATAAAGATGGGATTTATAAAGATACTGATAATAAAGGTCAGTCATAATGAAAAATTTAAAAAATGAGGTATTCAACTTTTATCAGAACCATTTAGGACAGAGTCCTTGGAAGAGAATCCTCTGGTATGTTGGGGGCTAATTGTAATGAATTTAACACCTCTTTTCAGATCTTCCTTGGACGTATGTGCTCGAGATGAGAGAAGCAAGAGAATCTTGCCTCTGACAGTTTGCAAGATGCATGTTCTTGCCTGCCAGGGTAGAAATTACACTCTCGCTGGTAGAGACAGCTGTACTCTGCGGGCCACAGTGGAGAGAGCTTGTGGTGCATGTTCACTATGGGAAAACTGTGATGGTAAGTGGGTTTCATATTTTAACTGCAAGAATGCTGAAGAACTGAGGGTTTTTAAATTTTATTTTTAAACATCATTTCTAGTGTAGCACTGGATCAAAGTCGATCCCAGGGGATCTACTGGTCTGAATGAACTGTTCTCTTCCACTCCGCTCCCTGAGCAGGGGGTGGATCAGGTTCCTAGGAGGACAAGAACCAGTCTTGATGGCCTGAATGTCTTCAAAGCTTCTGTAATTCTCATTCCACTCTCATTATTTTTACTGTCCTTTCATTATCCATATTATGTATGTACCCATTTTTCCATTAAAATACTTTTTAAGACATATAGTTTTATTTTTTAATAAAAACAACTTCATATCACTTCCTTAAAATGCAAGCCAGTATTCCTTGCTATAAATAGTGTGGTTGTTAGGCTCCTGGAGTCTTTTTGGCTCACAGTGACCCCAGGTGACAGAGTAGAACTGCTCTATAGGGTTTTCTAGGCTGTGCTCTTTATGGGAGCAGATTACCAGGCCTCTCTCCCACTGGAGGCCAGGGTGGATGGGTGGATTTGAACTGCCAACCTTTCAATTATTAGCCACGTGCTTAACCAACCATAAAAAAAAAAAAAAAAAACAAAAAACCCCAACAAAAAACAACAACCAATCCCACTGACCTCAAGTTGATTCCAACTCATAGCAACTCCCATGGGTTTCTAAGGCTGTAAATCTTTATGGAAATAGATTGCCTCATCTTCTTTCCAGGGAGCACCTGGGGCCTTTGAACTGCTGACCTGGTTAGAAGCCAAATGACTTACCCACTAGTCCACGAGAGTTCCTTAGTGCTTACTTAACCACTACACTATGAATACTAGGTAAAAAACCAACCAAACAAAAATAAACTCACTGCTGTTGAGTCAATTCCAACTCATAGCGACCCCTCCTTGGGTTTCCAAGGCAGTATCACTATGGAAGTCTTCCTTCCAAGGAGTGGCTGGTGGGTTTGAACTGGCAGCTTTCTGGTTAGCAGTCAAATGCTTAGGCACTACACCACCAGAACTCCTTGAATACTAGGTAAGTGTAATGAAATAAAATAGGGTTTTAGATTCCAGTCAGATACTACTGCTGGCAGAACTCTCTGAGTTTGAAGGATTTTCTTTCTTTGTGTTAAAGGGAGTTTAGCAAGTGTTATATGGGTGTTAAAAGCATACTAGGCATCAAAGTGACACTTTCTTCTAGGCATAATCTTACTTATGGTTTGTTTTTACAGTGTATGTAGCCTTTGAGGAGCTCTGGTAGCATAGTGCCTAAGGCACTTGACTGCTAACCAGAAGGCTGGTGGTTCAAACCCACCAGCCACTCCTCGGAAGGAAGGTTGGGCAATCCTACTTCCGTAGTGATACTGCCTCGGAAACCCAAGGAGGGGTTGCTATGAGTCAGGGGTGGCTCGACGGCAAATACCAACAACAACAACAACAATGTAGCCTTTGGCACTTCCATACCCTCTTTCTCAAAGCAAATTTATTATTTTTCATATTTCTGTCCTTAAAAAAAAATAACAAAAACCAAACTCACTGCCATCGAGTTGATTCTGACTCAGCGACCCTCTTCTTTGGGTTTCCAAGGCAGTAAATCTTTATGGAAATAGATTTCCCAGTCTTCCTTCTGTGGACTGGCTGGTAGGTTTGAACCACTAACCTGGTTAGCAGTCAAATGCATTAGGCACTACGCTACCAGAGATTCTTTTGTCCTTAAAAAGGGGCAGTAAAAACAGAGGTGGTAAAAACAGTGCTGGATGCTAACTGAAAGACTGGCTGTTTGAACCCACCTAGGTGCACCATGGAAGAAATGTCTGGCAATCTGCTTCCATGTAGAGTTACAGCCAAGAAAAGCCTATGGAGCAGCTCTACTTTGTAACACATGGGGTTGCCATGGATCAGAATCGACTCTATGGGCAATGGGTATTTTTTTTTTTTTTTTTCCTGTTCTTGAGCCTTGACATTCAGTTATTTTCAGAGATCTTCTCATTTGGCCTGAGGTTGGAAGGACTACATTCAATTTTTGGCTCATATTCACAGAAGCTTCTATGAAGAGAAAGGAGCCCTGGTGGCACAGTGGTTAAGCAGCTTTGCTGCTAACCACAAGCTCAGCGGTTCTAACCTTCTGCCAGACAGAGATGTGCAGTCTGCTTCCATAAATAATAAAAAAACCAAACTCACTGCCATTGAGTCAATTCTGACCCATAATGACCCTGTAAGACAGGGTAGAATTGCCCCATTGGGTTTCCAAGTCTGTAAATCTTTATGGAAGCAGACTGTCTCATCTTTCTTTAGCAGAATGGCTGGTGGGTTTGAACCTCAGACCTTTTGGTTAGCAGCCAAATGCCTTTACAGCTGAGCCACCAGAGCTCTTTCCTTAATTAATACAGCCTTGGAAATTCTCTGGGGCAGTCTGCCTTGTAGCGACTCCATGAGAGGGCAATGGGTTTGGTTTTTCATTTGGTATGAAGACAGATTTGGAAAGACCTGGACTTGAAGAGAACCGCCCCATGTGATTCCAACCAATAAAAAGCTTGCCCCAACCTCCAAACCTATTGATTCCAAGTGGAGCAAAACCCCTCAACTACCTGGTCTTACTGCATTCCCAGAGGTAGTTTATTACGTTACTAGAGACCGGAGCTTCTGCAGCCCTTTGATCACCAAATTGTTGCTTTGAAGGTGGTGTGCTTCACTCACTCACCACTCTCCACACCGCCTAGATGTGCCAGTAAGCCTCTCTTATTTTTTTCAGCCCAGAGCAGCCAATGCGTCTGCCGAGACGCCTCGGATTGCGAGGAGGAAGGGTTTAGCATTTGTGTGCACGTGAATGGCCAGGAGCAGACAATGACGGAGTGCGAGGCTGGCGCGCTGAGATGCCGAGGGCAGAGTGTCTCCATCACCAGCATCCTACCCTGCGCCACGAAAACCCTGTAGGCTCCTGGGTGCGCTTGTGGCCTTGCTTGGAAGCCAGCAGCCAACTGTGGCCGATTTCAAGCATGTTTATAACCGGGCGCTTTCACTTTCTGACAATCTTTCCAGCATACTCTAGTATATTCCTCTCAACTCGCAGCCCTATGTTTAAGCCTAAATCCTTGTTCTCCCAAACCTGAATCCAGATACTGTTTTTCTCAATTTCTTTCTTTCTTTTCTTAATGTCAGGACTTACCTTTGCAAAAACTGTGTATTTTTGAAAAAAAAAAAAAAAAAAAATGCTGAGCTCTGGACCTTAAGTTTTTTAATTTGTGAAATTAGATGATTAGATCAGAGAACCTGGAATGTTCCATTCAGCCCTATGATTCTATTAAGCGTGATTGATCAGTCCATGGACCAGAACACACTCTACAAATTGATTAGGAAAAAAGAAAGGACATGATTGCCTGATTAGAGAGGTTGGTTTCACTGAAGGAAATCAAATACAAAGGAGAGCTTGGATGAAAAAAGACAGACACAGTGATTTCTGGCCCAGCAGTAATCTCAAAAGCCATCTTATTGAATCAAGCACCACACAGAGGGGTCCCAGGCCATATTCTTGTCAGGAGACTGAAACACTTAAATGTCGTGCTGTGGTACCATGTGCCTTCCTGTCTGAGAATAAATACAATTCAGTCTTCTCTGGGGACTTCATATGTGCCAAACATGAGACCTGCAATTTGACCTTTTTTTTTTTTTGGTGGAAGCATCAGTTCATGCTTGAACTACTGACTGCATATTTGAAAGAATAATTTTCCCTAATGTGTATACACTCTTCGATTTTTCAGGAAGTGACCAGGTAGGTTAGTTTGAAGCATTGACCTTCTATTTGTTCCTTCTTCATCTCTCATCAAAACAACCAAGCAGCTGTGGGTGGCCATGAGTGGGTTCAAATGCAATTTGAAATGTGCTTTATATACAAATAATGTTTCTATATTGTTCTTTTACTGATAAATACATTTGAGCAAAACTTTAGTTAAGATGATAGTGATTAAAACACTCATTGAAGATACTATTCTTCTGATTTGTTTTGGATTTTTATTCTATTTTCTTTTCAGAGATTCTTTCCATGAGGAATGATTATGGTGCTCTTATCTGAAGGTTTAGGTCTGATCCAGATTCAGCTTTTTATATCACATTGTCTCTTGAGAGAAGATTCAGGTATAATCCACCTACTCCTTACTTATGGACTATCATATAGGACAAAGGGGGTCCTGTTTGAGAAGCGAATGAGCCAGTCTACTCAGCACCAGAGTCTGGGTGAAAGAAAGGTGACTTACTGAGGTGCAGCACATCAAGGAGCCAGGGGGACTTGCCTACATCAGAGTCCCCACAGGCAAAGCCTGCATTATAATTTGTAGGATTCAAAAATAAGGAACTTATACATATTCAATAATTTTCTGGGAAATCTATTCAAAGCAAGGCGGGGGCGTTTGGACAGGAACTGTCCTTCGGACCCTTGCTTCTCACTGCCTTCCCTGAACTTTAGGTTGCTGGACTTGGTTCCTTTAGGTCTTCTAACAGCACCTGTGCTCCTGGTGGGTCATCCAGGGATATAGCTCCTCTTTTCTGTGTCTACTTGGGGGCCAAACTTGTCTAAAACAACTTTTTGTCTTTTCCTTGGTCTCATATCTTCCTGGTTCCTGCAACATACAATGATGAAGTACAAGCTAACACAATGGTTAAGCACAAGCTGACACAGTGGTTAAGCAAAAAGGGAGGGGGTTTAGAAACTCAGCCCGTACGGTTCCAACTATCTCATTATCTGACATTTTTCATTTATCCAATAGTAAAAAAAATCTGCTCTCAGACTGTTTTGCACATGAACTAGGCCTTGAGGCGAGTCTCCTACACTCTCCGGGAAGCCCCATGACCTCCACTCCCTCTTGCCAACATGCAGAGAGGTCACCTTGTGGCCAAGGCCTTGGGTGGACATGCAGGCAGCACCAAGCCAGCAGACACCTGTGCTGGCTTCCCAGTTCCTATGAGGCCTAAAGTCCTTCAGCTCAAAATTGCTATAGGTGGCAAGGGAGGAAAGAGGAAAGAAAGAGGTATCAGAGGGGTTGTGTAAGAAATGGATGTGAGTTTAATGACATACCCGAAAGTGAGCTGAATTGGGCCTGAAACCTCTGCTCTGTGGGGTCAAATGCATCACCAGGCTCCCAGTGCCTTAGTAGGAAATCTGAGCTTCTTCTGAGCATTGGTGACTTACCAGGCCTGGAGGGCTAAGCAAGTATCTGATGGTAAACACAGGGCTTGCACAGGTGGGGAGAGAGGAACTCTGACTCAGCACAAGAAGAGATGAAGTGGTTAAGCGTCCAGTCACACCAAAACCAAAAACCCATTGCCATGGAGTCTATTCTGACTTATAGTGATCCCATAGGTCCGAGTAGAACCGCCCCCTTGGGGTTTCCAAGGCTATAAATCTTTATGAAAGTAGACTGCCTCATCTTTCCCCCTCAGAGTGTTTGCAACCACAGACATTTTGGTTAGCAGGCAAGTGCTTTAGCCACGGCACCATGAAAGCACCTTCCAGTCATAGTTGGGCTTTATATCTAGCTTTGTCTCTTCTAAGCTTCCTTCTCTGTGGAGGAATAATCCATAACTGGATTAGTCATGGTGATGAAAACATTGTAAATCTTAGCTGTTATTATTTCTATGATGGTGTTTTCTAAATAAAAAAATTCGATAAATGGGTGTTCTGAAAACCCCCAAAAATCATCCATTTCACATAATGCCAATTTTCACATAAGGACATCATCTTTGGAACCTGACCATGTTGATAAATGAGTTTCAAGGAGGTA